CAGTTATTTGACCTTGGATGTAAGTGTACATGACAGTCGCCTATAATGTATCCATTTGTATTTCCCTTGAAAGTTCGTTATACTGAAAAATTCATTACACTGAAGTTTTCCTGTAGTTCCTTGCAAGCATCACTTACTAAGTCTTGAACAGCTCCACAAGCCAGTATCGGTAGTTGCTGCTTCGAAATACAGTGTACAGTGAGACCTGTCTAAGACGGTTGCTCAAGGTACCTTCAAAGGGTGGTCTCTGTTACCAGGTCGTCATCCTATCCAGGGTCTTTTTACTGGAAATTGGGTCCATCGGTCCTAGTTACGGTGGTCTTCTGGGACAGGTAGTCACCTTATCCTAGTGGTCGCCTTGACAGGTTGTACTGTAGTAAACATACACACCACTGCACCAAAGCAGGCTAGCAGCGCTCACACCGGCATAATGCATACAACGACAATACTACTTGTATTACTGTTATCTCGTATCATACAATGTACCGGTATACGCATATCATGGTTCAGAGTTATCTCTCTCTCTCTCGCTCTCACTTCCTCCCTCCCTTCCTCCCTCCCTCTCTCTCTCTCTCTCTCTCTCTCTCTCTCTCTCTCTCTCTCTCTCTCTCTCTCTCTCTCTCTCTCTCTCTCTCTCTCTCTCTCTCTCTCTCTCTCTCTCTCTCTCTCTCTCTCTCTCTCTCTCTCTCTCTCTCTCTCTCTCTCTCTCTCTCTCTCTCTCTCTCTCTCTCTCTCTCTCTCTCTCTCTCTCTCTCTCTCTCTCTCTCTCTCTCTCTCTCCCTCCCTCTTGATCTCTATCATCTTGTCTTCTCTCTTTTCTTTGTCAGCTTACCTGGTGGTTATGTGCTTTTCAAGTAAGTACAAGTAAAACAAGTAAGAAGGTGGGGATGGTACGTTGGACAGTGTGTGTTGGTAGTAACGCCCATTGCATACTCACACACACACCTACAATGTAACCATCACTTTCACAGCGGATGCACACCCGTGGTTATTTCGCAATCCCCCGTGCGTATGAATGCCAGGATCGATTGTCTGGATTGCTCCCCATCACTCTGATTGTGTTATGAGGTACACCTTCGTGACAGTTATCACTCCATTATGTCTTTGTGAAGGTGGAGGAATGGCGGCACTAGCTGCTCGTCCTGCCCACTATTGTCCACCGGAAAGGCACAGTAACACCAAGAGTACACTGGGGTTATGTACTCTCAGGCTTGTAACACTAACAGACCATTGACAGTGTGCCCAGTGCAAGCTGTTTGTTGCCCTCTGCTCTGGTCTCACTCTCAGTGCACTAGTGCCAGTAGTGGCGGATGACGATTGTGATGTGCAGCTGTACCTCTAAATGTATACCCGTCAAACCCTCCAACTCAGTCTTAAATAATTATTGGCAGTGCCAATAGTATTATGGTGTAGATCATCTACTGCCTCGTGTAGGAGCACATGTGGATGAATGGCATAATAAATATTACTAAAGGTACATGCATTGTATTAGTTTTCAAAGCTACTTGAGATGGCGTTTACAATGTACTCAAAACGGGTGTATTCAAACAATACGACATGGAAAGAAGGAGGAACACCAAAGATACACTTGAATTACAAGGGATGAACTGTGACTCGGCGTTTACAATGTACAGTGATACTGTTTATGCTGTCATGTACATGTACATGTAATTGTATGTTCAATCACAGTAACAATTAATGTCACTGGGTGTATACTGATATTGTTATTGTTGTCAAGTGTGTATGCGTCCTGATTGAGCTGCACTACTACCAGACTACCGCACCCAGCACTGTGATGGTTATGCCAGCAGTAGTAGAGTGCAAGACGCCAGATTCACGCTTACCACACTTACTCCACTGGTAAAACCTTGTGCCACGTGACATGCCGTTATCGTAAAATATTACTTCGAAGTAATTGATTGGAGCACGTTATTTTGATGTGACTCCAAGTAGTTTCACCCCTGAAAGCAATTATGAGGCAGAAGTAAATATTGAGCACTCTGACAGCAACGAGGCCCCACGCATCGAAAAGGAAATAGGATATTTCCCTTTGATGTTTGCTTGGGGGCTTTGAAATGTCCTTATCAACCCGCATCAACTGGTGTGTGTCTGTGTGTGTGTGAGTGGGCAAACGGAGTGCGTTGTGGGAGAGTGGGAGAGTGGGAGCTCTTCTTGTTGAGGGATTATATTATCGATTAGTGAGGATGGGATGAATCACCTATCTGAGTATAATTCATGTCACTTGAGAATTGGTGTCAACAATATACATGTACATGTATGTTACATTCCTGGATTGTGGATCCTACTCGTGCATAGCAAGTATGCACTTGCCAAGTGATTTGGTTTGCACGCCTTTCCAGGTTTCACGCAGCCAAGCAACTTGAGTGGCAGAGTAAGCACAATGCTCCCCAAGGGTCACTATCTGACTCTGCATGTGATGTACACTGCCGAGGTAAACAATAGTACAGTCGAATGTCCCTTTAATATCCGGTCGCCAGTTATCCGTACTAACATTTCCCGAAGGTGTGGAGCTGGGAAGTTCGTTTTTAAGTACACTATGTACTGGGTGCGTCGAGTTGGCACTGTTTACACGTCATGTACATGACTGTATTTGCCATGCACACGTACATGTACATGTACACACACAGACATACATATACATGCACATGCACACACATACTATGACATAGACACATACACGCGTATTATTGTACTACTCACTGGTTATAACACTCACTGAATCTCTCTCCCAATCTCAACATTGTAGCATTATCCGTGTGTCACCTTCCACGTATGTTATAAAGCGTGGCTTGCGGTATTGTTAACGCGCTGATGGTCACTACATTGCTAAGTCGACATTGCATTGTCTTTCCATATCAGCGGTTTCTTGTTCTTGCCAATGGATATTCCCTGGAAATATAGCATCGAGTCCGAATGCACATGACGTCATAACAGTGCATCCGCACACCACAGTGTGTTTCTGAGCTTTACTAATACCCACACACCGCTACTGTTAGATTTCATACACACACTGGTACATGACATCATGACATCATGACATACAATGCAATACATGACTGTATGCACTGCCCCTGTAATCTGGTAATCCCATCATCCTGTTTCCAGTGCTTTGCTCCATGAAACTGTACAATCATGTACATGTAGATTTGAATGGACGATGGTGCATTATATTCGTCCCTTTTGCTCCTATTTAAGAGAATGTTATTTTAAAAGCTCCAGAACGCTTATTATGCTCTTACCTTTCTCATTATTTGTTCATCATCTCATCCATTATAATACTATTATCATACATGTGTGTGGAAAGAAATACAGTAGAAGTCAAGTGATGCCTTTACATACTTCAAAGAAGCAGAAATAATTAATTGATACTTTGATGTGCAACGATAGAGCTGGCAACACATACTGTGTGCTAGTAGTAGTACACTAAAGTCTATCATGCAACACCGGCCAGGGTGATGATGATGTGATTATATCAAGCATGAAGTCGTTCACGAGCCCCTGTTGAATCAGTCTGGCTGCTGCGGATGCATCGTACTGTGTGGTGCCGTCGGCATACTAGTATACTTTTGGATTAATCCGATGAATTGGCGCCATGTGCTCTCTGGTGTAAACAAATAAAGCTAACCTGCAGGCTAAGCGTGCAATCGACGTTGTTTTGACTGCCAAACGCAGTATGGACTTGCTCCACAACAAAATACACAGTGCATGTCCAGGCGAAGGATGTGTGCGGCTCTATACTTATTGCATCCCTCGGCTACCCGACGTATTGTCCACCCCGGAATCGCTATCATTTTCTGCTGAGGTGTAGGAATGTGGCGAAGGATGATGCTGATGTGTGTGGTCTGCGGTAGCCGAGGTCGAGACACGATGACAGGGTGAGTGATGTGCACTGTTGGGTCAGGTCATGCGGACGGTACAGAGCCGCATCAGTCATAAAGATGTGATTGTGCAAGGACACGGTCGTCAGCTAACTTTAGCGATTGTCAGCAACTTTGGCCCAAACATGGTCGGATGACGCTTGTTTTCCAGGAATGCGCTGTGATTATCGCTTCCCTTTATCCCTGCGCTGCCACAACTTTAGCCTGTAACTGTTGACAACAGAATTCAGCACATCATGCCCTGATACCCTGATACCCTGATAGCTGAATGTGTATTATGTGAGCGGCTTCGTTCTGTGAGGCATGCATACCAGTTGACGGATTATGTAGGTTGATAACAATGATTCAATGACTGCTTTGTGGATTACGATCAGTCCATATCAGCCGTAGAGTATGGAGTTACAGTATGTGGACTGAGTCTGTGCGTCCGTGCGTGGTACAGCAGCGTGTTGATCATGTTGTTTTGTAAACAGACGTCAGAGAAGATGAGGACAATAGAGGTCCCATACACCAAGTCATACTACACTACATTCTGCCACACTCCAGCGTAGTACATGTATAACCTGGAGCATTGAGTGAAGTGGCTGTCACTGTGTGCGCAGCAAGTCTGGCCATGGACTTAAATCTTTGTTGAGTCACTGCTTTTGCTTTCTCATCCTAAGGAGAGCACTCGAACATGATGAGTGATGAAACTGCACCATCACTGGTATCAGTAACTCCAGTCCGGCCACGGGTTTTGCTAGGGGTGGGCTAGAATGTCACAGCGAACGGGTTTATCAACATGGAGAATTAGGTTTGAACACTGAGACAACGACGCCGGCTACGTAGTATTGGCTAGACACCGAGTGAGGCATTTGTTGAGCAGGACACACAATGTCAATGACTGTATTTAAAAAGCACTCCAGGTTCTACATGATAGGCCAAAACATCCATGACTCATGAGGCATGATTATGACTGCTGACCTTTAGATCAGCAAGTATGCACAGTGAGAAGTAAGTAACATGACTGTCGATTGTGCACTGACTCTGTGGGTCTACCATGTGAGGGTTTGGTGTTCAGCCTGGGACCCTGAACAGTCATGGTTCTTGTTGATGGTGTATGTTGGTATTTAGCCTGCCTTCCTATCCCTGTCTTTCTGAATGACGGTCAGAGTGTAAAACTGTCAACACTCACTCGGACCTGCTTTCTCCGTGCCCTTTTGAGTATGAATGTGACGATCTCTCCTGTCTTGCTCTGTTTACTGCGTGACTTGCGGCATGCGGCAATGGCATGTACATGTACTGGGGTTCAAGACTTCTATTGGTCACTCTGGGCATACTAGGCATGGCGTGATGGCCCGAGCAAGTCCGAGATCTTTTCCCAAGGACAATCACGATTCGAGGACCAACGGCGAGTGAGCACCGTCGATGTCATTGGGATAACGGATCATTGGGAATATCATGATTGTGTAAACAGCAGCCTGGAACAGCAGGTCTCTGTCCCTAAGCTGCACTGAGTGTTGAGAGGAGAGAAAACGTGCCACGCTGGCTATGTTATCACTGCTAACTTGCTTGAACGTTTGTCGACGACTGCAGCTTCGGGGTGGCCAGGTTCAGTGACTGCAGCTAGCTAATGGTATTTTGTGGTGAGGCGAATGGCAGTCGACTGACGTGTGCCCGTGCGGGTCAACACAGACTAAGAAGATGTCTATGTTGGTTACCATGCGATGATATCGCCTACTGGCATCTTACACAATACCCATGTCCTGCGTAGTTTGCGTCAGTGTCATGCACGTCCATCCAGGCGACGCACAATGGCAGAACAAACAGACGAGTTAGAGACGACAAACGGCCGTCTGTCAGGTCGCAGGCCTAATTGGGCTTCAGGGTGGTCCGGTGCATGGGTGGCCTCCTCTTGTCGATTTGTCAGCGGTCATGGGTTCTCTCCTTTCTTGCTCGGTGCACCACGGCAAGGCACTTTTATTGTTGTATGCCCTCAGTCCGCAGAGCCCGGATTGACTGAGAACTGTTTGTTGTGTCAGTGTTTACCTAGGTCGACGGCGAGCAGAAGCAACCCTTCCAGGCTAGATCCCTTAGACAGCAGGCAAACAGTAGATCTACGCGCACCACTCGCACTGTACTGGTACTAGTAGTAGTGCTGGCTAAGACCAAGAGCCTTTGGCTTTGGTATAGCAAGAACTATTCCAGTCCTGTCTGCTTGACGGAAAAACACCGGACTGACTGCCTGGTCGCAGCATCGCTAGCTTGAATCCCGGCTCTCCAGCGAGTAGATCACGACGTATTCTGCCCTATTGCCACTGTGGCGGCTAAATTGACATGCACCACTTGAGAGCAATTGTGTTCAGCTAGAACTGTTGGGCTGTATACCGTGGATAGAGATCGCGCTGAGCTATCTAGCAGGCAGGCGGGCGGGCATTCTGGATCAACAATCGAACGAAGAAAAACACGAAGGGAGGCACTCGAGCTGCCAGGGATTCGTCTCAGAGGCACCAGAGAGGGTCGCGTGTATATAGCAGAGTCCGTCGTTAGAGGCTTGAGTGAGCTGTGTGGAGCAGACACAGTCGTTTCGTGTATCCTGCCTGCTGTGGCGTAGGAGGCGTTTGGGCTCGTGGTTACCTTCAACGTACATATCGTGTTGCTCTTCCACGCTGGAGGTAAAGGATTTGTCGATGATGACTGGAAACACTAGCGATGACCGCACGGCGGATTGCTCCGAAGTCGTCCGACTCGGTGGCAAGTTTGCTATGATGCAGACATGCACGTCGTCTTCGTCTTCACCACAAGCAGTGAGCGTGACCTCTGCGGGATCATCACCGCCCGGTCACTTCTTCCAGCCCATCTCGCCAGTCACCTGCGCTTCACAAGCACCGCGAGCACACCCGGTGGCGCTGAATGGAGGCGGCTCTTCGGCGGCGGTGGCAACGACTGGGCTCAGCCTGTCCTCAGCCCTGGGTGGTGATATACTGGCTGCGTCAGGCCTGGATGTCCTCTCAGCAGTGAGCATGGTAAGGCAGAAAGAGGAATCCGCCAAGGCAGCCAGCAATTCAGTCGGTACTGGTGCTGTTCATGCCGGTGTCGGCCTACCCGGCATCCAAGGCGCAGGGGCAGCTGCTGTTCCACCACTGTCGAAACCACCTCTGACCTATATTGACCTCATTACGATGTCTATTGAACAGTCGCCAGACAGAAAACTCCCTCTCAGCGGAATCTATGAGTTCATTGAGACGAAATTTCCATACTACAATCAGCCGAGCAAGCGACCAGGCTGGCAGAACAGCATCCGTCACAACCTGTCGCTGAACAAGCGCTTTGTGAAGGTGCCTCGCCAGTCCAATGATCCAGGGAAAGGTAGCTACTGGACCACACAGGAGCATCATGAGAGCGTGCTGCAAGCCATCGGTAATGGCGGTCAGCAGCAACAGCAACAGCAGCCGCACCAAGCTCAGTCCAGTGCGGTGGTGACTACTGCCGGTGCAGGTATTGCTGGTGCACCCTCCAACTCGTCACCTGTGCCATGTGCATCACCGACAGCCATGGCTGTGAATGAGGACCACATGCAGCATGGTTATGCCGGACATTCTCCACCAACAGTCCTTGGTGCACAGTCTAGTTATCAACCACAACCCACGGCAGCAGCGGCAGCAGCAGCAGCAGGAGCAGGAGCAACGTCAATGCAATGGGCAGACAGAAGCGATGAAGATTGTATGTCAGTAAAGACAGACATGGCAAACGCTGGCGAGACACTGGATCTAGATGAAGACGAACAGATGGACTATATGGATGTTACTGGCAATGGCAGTTCACCACCCTCGGCCACGCGGCCCGTGCCACGAGTGCGCGAGCGCCCATACTCCGCTGGTTCAAAGCGAAGCCGCAGCCGAGCGTTCAGTCCCTTGCACACCAATACGTTAGACCTGGATGAAGACAGGCCGCTCGACTACATGTGTGTTCCAACACACAACAGTTCGCCGCCACCGTCATCGTCATCAGCGGGCCCTGTGCGAACACGCGGCCGGCCGTACTCGGCTGGCGCAAAGCGTACGCGCAATCGTCCGTTCAGCCCACTCCACACCGAGCCGCTCTCCGCCAACGCCAAGGCTTTCAGCATTCCCAATCTGATCAATCAAGAGCTGGGGAGTGAACACGGCGGTGCCAATACGGATAGATCCTCTACGGATACAGAGCCGGTCATGCACCCGCAGATCTGCTATGTTGACTCCGCGGCCGTTCAGCACCGGTCTTCGGAAACGGTCAACACGGCGCACTCGTCAACTCCATCGTTTGCGCCATCTGCATTGCCGACTGTGCCGACCGCGGCTGCACCGTTGCCTGGCAACGGTGGCGGTGTATACTTGGTACCGGCGCCAGGCATGCAGCATTATTCTGCTAGTAATGCCGCCGCTGCTGTCGCTCCGCCCGGTACCATCCCTGCTTCCAACGTCACAACGCTACCAGTCATGTTCAACTACCAGCCAACATACTCACATCCAGCCACTGAAGGTGCGCCTGCCCCTGCCTCTACCACGTATTACACGCCTCATCCTTATCCAATCTTCCTACAGCCATCCATTCCAGCCAACTCGCATCAACTCTCCAGCCAAGAGTGAGCGCATTTGCGTTGTTGACCAAACCTTGTGTATGCATAGAATTGCCGTACGGCTTGACCTCTGATAGGAAGCAGCCAACAAAACTTCATGCACAGTGTGTATGAACATGCACGTGCACGCGCGCGCGTGTGTGTGTACATCCAAGTGTGCGTATTACATAACCAGCAGCTGTGTACATTGTTATGGTGTTACTCTGCATGTTGGTTTTAAGAGTGAACTTTAACCGGAGGACGCGAATCGAGATTTCCATACATCCTCCAATACGAGGAGCCATGTTCTAAGATTATTGAGTTTATTTCGTGAAGAGAAGAGAAGTCTGTAAGATTAAGTTGAATTTGACTCTGCTGGGCAGCTTTGATGTAGTGTAATGCGTGAATATTCTCACACTACATTCTTGAATTTCTCTAACACATAACGCAGAATATACGATCTTGTACTGCACTAGATTAAAGATACCTACCTGCCATAAGTGCATGTGGTGTGTTGCTGATCATTTACCAACGGTAATCCCATTTGAATTGCTCGCTCAGTGTTTTGCGTTGACGCAACTCTAAGCAGTGTTGATCACGCTCAGTTTCGTGTCTTTCTCTTTCCTGATCATGGTGCTCATTGACCATGGCGCCTGCTTTATGACGCTAACATTTCCTTTTTCTAATTTACCGGTACTTAAAAAGTTAAAAGTACACATACTCATCAATCCAGTCCAAATCCAAAGAATGATAACTAGTACTTGCACTAGTCGTTGTGTCCCGGACTTCCTAGATGTGAACACATTGGCAAAAGCGAGGGCAGATTTGCTGCAAAATTGGGAGGGGGGGGGGGGGGGGGGGTTGCCGAAGAAAATTTGGCTGTTGTTGCATGATGGGATCTACATGATCCTGCTTTTTGTTTTGTATGTTTTGAAAATGATCTACATGTACAAAGTCATGTTTCTGGAATGTCATTGTTTGCTGACGATATAGCTGCTTTGCGCCACTGTAAAACTGTCAAACAGCTTGAGTCAGCCTAGCGGAGTTGCAAGACGCGATAAATATGATTGTCACCTGGATGTCCAGTTGGAGGCTTCAGGCAAACGTTTCAAAAACCAGCCTGAGTACTGTTTCTAACAGATTCTGCCTCAATGTTTAAGTTCACCTTTCCCAATTCACCCACAGAAATTCAGACGGTAAAGGAGCACAAACACCTAGGGGTAATGTTCGATTCATCCATGTCCTGGTCGGCTCATGTAGATTACATTAAATTTTGTAATAAAGTCAGCCGTGCACTTGGCTATATTAAAAGTCATTGTAAACATCTCTCTATTCCGTGCCGTTCCGCTATATATAAAATTTATCTCCTTCCATTGTTTGAATATGCTGCCACAGCCTGGTGTGGCCTAGCTAAGGTCTTATCCGATTCCATTGAAGTTCATCATAAGAAAGTTCTAAAAATTTTGTTCTCGAAGAAACCTTTCCCTCCAATGAGTTGTACTTATTAGCTCAGACTACTCCGTTAGAGCAACGCCGACTAACTTGCCTCTGTATATTGGTTCATCGAATGCTCTTGGGTTGTGTTCCTGGACATATAAAGCCTTATAACTGGTTTGTTTCGGGCCGCTCAACCAGAAACAAAGTGTCTCTTCCCAAGGCCAAGTCAACGCAATTCACAAGATCGCCATTCTTCCAGGGCTACTGTGCATGGCTACAACTTCCCGACTCAGTGAAGACTTCTGCATCATTGAAAGAATTTAAAGTGAATCTGAGGGCCTGCTGATGACTGAGTGCACCATAATAATAATAATACTTGCAAGTAAAAACTAATCAATATAGCTTTTCGGCTGTTTCCTTTTCATGTATATAATCTTCTCCTTCTTTTACCATGGTTGGCTATCACCCACATCTTCCCGTTTTGGCTGCCATCGGAAGCCATGAGATGTTGAATAAATAAATAAATAAATAAATCCTGTAGTTACAATAACAGTCTTGATGTTCCTGTCTATTGACAACGTCCGGCCTGTTCTTGATAGCACAATGATCAGCATGGTTCGTGCTTGTGTTCATCTGCATCTACTAGTGTATGCGTACGTGTATGTGGCAAACGGCCCGGCAGGCATCGGATCATGTGGGGCTGCTTACTCAGCGTGTGCTGAGCGCTGTGAAAGTGCTCACAAATCTGTGATCGGGTTACAAACAGTAACGATGGAAAGGATACATAAAACAGCACATGTAGTGTGTGCAATGACAACCCTAGGCCCTGCACATATGAGCACAAAGATTGCAACTTGAAAAACGATTAATGGGTCCGTCAAGTGTGGAAAACTTGGGAAAAATGTGTTGAGTTGTGTTGCACAATCTCCAAACTAGAATGTTTGGAGGCCAACAAACCATAGGCAATTGACCATGGCAATGTTTCAAACACAAGCAGACAAAATTACTGATTCTCTTTCACCAGATCTGGAAGGGACCTAACACAATGCGCATCTGATACACAACAAAGACCACCCAGCCATGCAAGCATCATTATCCGACAAGAAGGGTCTGCGGTTCCACCGGTGCAGTCACAGGCCAGTAGAGTGGGGTGCCGATGGACGGACACTTTGCAGAGATGTAGTAATCATATGGTGTGGACGATGTCGGCGCCTGAAAACCATAGCAACGCATACACTCCCACAGTTACTTGAATGTTCAATAGTCTCAGGGAATGAAGAAAGCGAGCTATGAAAATTGACTTCCACCACCAGAACTCTAAGCAGCTACCAAATTTATTTGACTGATAGATCTACCATGGGTTTACCTGCATCCCCCCAGCTAGAAAACTGCAATGGTTTTTGGGTATGGCTGGTGTATTTAGTGAATGTGAGCAAAGCTACATGTATTCATGAAGAGGTTCCTCGAGTAAAACCAGGTTCACAACAACCACTGGAAATCTGTGTACACTTTGGACATCGTGTGATGAACTGTTCGGTGAAAAATTGAAAGTCAGAACAAAGGGCTTGATACATTTTGTCCAAAGCGTGTCGACACTTAAAACAGCTCTGCATGTTTGTGCTTCGAGCACTCTTGCAACAACGTCGTGCCTACCAGGATATATGTCCCCGTAACGTTCACCGTCTTACCGTTGATATGGTTGCTGATCCTTGGTAGACCTGGCGACCAACGTTTGTCATGGCGACCGTCTCGTATGCTTGTCCAGTCACTACAGAACCCAGCAATGGCATGCAAGAAAGCGACCAATTTAGTACATGTGCTATATGTACATAGTCATTAATTGGTTGTTTGCCTTGATCCTAGAGGGTGATGGTGTTCTTACGGATGTCACTGGAAAACACGGCCTAACTGAGGCCCACGCGAACCATGACTTTTTTAAACCTGTTTGTGCCTTCTCAGTAGTCAGTGCAGCTTCTGCGAGGGAAGTCAAATCCATAGGAACACATTGGCCAGCATCTAAACAGTTCTGAGGGAGAGTTTGGTTTTGTGTTCATAAAAATCTGCAGCTCAGTGTGTGCTTACTCACTGCGGAATACTGCCCCGTCATAGCTTAATGCGGTGCGGCAGGTGATAAATTGCAAACGATCTGTACTTACCCCAACAAAGCCTACAAGTAGCATATCCAATGTCATTAACCTTGGCTAAACCAACCGCACTGTAACCATGCGTATCCAAACCGGCTAAGCGACAACGCTATTCGGCCCTCTCCATCACCAAGCCTTTGTCCATATATAGCCGGGTTGTGCACACTGACCCCTAATCTCACCACAGTGGGACTGTTGAGAAGGGTAGGACACGGGTACAGGACATGGCGGTAACACATGAAACCCGGCAGTGAGTTGATCATTAGCTTACCGGCCTTCCAGTTCAGTGTCACATTGCATGTCTGTGCAGGACTGCCTGTCAGGAGTAACATGGCCGAAACAGCCAATGGCTGCAAAAACACCATGGTAAGAGAGGGATAGACAGAGGGAGAGAGAGAGAGGGGGGGGGGGTGTCAGCACAGCTTTGAATACAGCCCATCATCATACATGCATTCCATGTAACCTACTCTGTTGGGAACTCTTGATGTGGTGATTGGCTTCCTACTGGATGTTATCACCATGACAACACCGCCATGCACTTGCCGGGATAGCCACTATAAGATAGTGTAGAATGTGAAGTATGTGAAGTATAAAGTAGGTAGTGATAGTCACTCTGAAATAGCCGTCTGAAATAGCCGTCTGAAATAGCCGTCTGAAATAGCCACATCATCACATTGCCAAATGTCGTAACTGCTAAGGAAGATTAGTCCATGTTATGGCATCAGTGTAACCGCTTGATGTCACCTAAGCCGGTTCATACAGCTTACCTCTCCACCAGTGAGGTGTGTTCGTACTGCTGGGACAATTAGACGGCTCGGTCCGGTGTATTCATCTGATGGCTGGAGAATTGGAAAACAATACGGGAAATATATCGACAGGCTGGGATTTGAAGCTGTGCTGTGGGATAGAAGCACTTGTCAGTGCCAAGTATCGATTTTATTCCCGTAGCTATGCAGAAGATGTTACTTCAGTAACGTCTGGCGCTAGCCAGGGTCCACACAGCTTTAATTTGGTATTTGTTTGTGTGTTTGTTTGTTTGTTTGTGTCACGCCTGGCGCTATCCCGTATCTGACGGCAAAAAAATCATAGGGATGTTATAAATTTTTCAATTCTCCTATTTTTTCAGGCATATCCTGGGATTCGAACCCGCACTATCGCCCTACATGCATTCCCCCATGCACTTCGCATTCATACCCATTCTTCCAAGTTGCTTCACTTTATGATCTTGCGTCTGAAAGCCCTATTTGAATATAGCGGGCAGCTGTATGTGGGCAGCTGTGTTTGATGGTACGGTACGGGAGACGGTGTCGTATTACCCTCGATCGTACCTGTCCCGTACCTATCCCTACCGTACCGTACCATCAAAGACGGCTGGCCACAATGCATATTCAGGCTGCGTTTACACGGAGACGAAACGAAACGAAACGGAACGAAACGGAACGAAAACGGGCTGGCCTCGAATCGTTTTCAAACCGTTTACACGAGAACGGCAAATCGTTTTGAACTGTTCACACGAAAACGGACAACGGGCGATCAGGCTGGAGTTAGCACGTGCTGACTTGGCGCAAGGGCGGGAAGTAACACGTTAGTTGGAGTTGGTACGTGCTGGTGGTCGCAAAGGTCAGGTATTTCCCGCGAAATACAGTCCCGCGCGGAATGGTTTCCATGACCGCGCTCCGTTTCCAATCGTTTTCACTGTTTTCACCGTTTACACGAGAACGAAAACGTTTCAAAACACTTTGAAGTGCGTTTCCATTTCGTTCCGTTTAGGTATCGTTTTCGGGCGTTGTCGTGTAAACGATAGTAGTAAACGCAATGATTTCGTTCCGTTTAGGTCCTACTTCGTTGTCGTGTAAACGCAAATCGTTTTCAATCGTTGTTGTGTAAACGCAGCCTCAAATAGGGCTTTCAAATGCAAGATCATAATGTGAAGCAACTTGGAAGAATTAGTATGTATGCGAAGTTTATCGGGGGATGCATGCAGGGCGCGATAGTGCGGGTTCGAATCCCAGGTTATGTCTTAAAAAATAGGAATTTTTTAAAGAATTTATAACATCCCTATGCTTTTTTTTGTCTAAACATCAAGGCAAAAAAGCATAGCGTAGGGCCCTGAGCTTCCAAGCTCTCTCGTTTTCCAACATGGGATGAGCTACAGCTGTACACATTGTGTTTAATTGGCTTGTTCATTGCAATAACAAAACAACAGTTACTGTTTAATTTGTTGATCCGGGCACTCCAGGGGCAGACACTCTCCATATTGGTTCATAGTGTCTGTAACTCCAAATCCCATACGTATTGGTGCAGGGATCCCAACTGTAAGATGTGGTGCGCTACTCGGTTGACAGATAAATGCATAATTGTCTGTAAAACACATTACATAACTTGACAGTCTTCTATGATAATATCTTGAGGTTTAGACTTCGTTGCATTTCTCTTCTTTTCCGCTCGATTGTCGTATCTTGATTTCATCGTACATGTACTGCTGTATGACGTGCTATACGACATACGTTATACCGTACAACACCGTATTGCCGTTCGCCGCTGTTACTCTGTGCTAGCTTACGAATTCACCTGCTAGTGTTAGTCTTAGTTTTACCTCGGTCGTAGAAGGTTGACTAATCTCCTCGAGATGTTCTTCCTCAGTAGTTTTAGCAACAGGTTAAGTCGTAGATTTACATATTCCAGAATGACATCGCTATGATCGATTGTCTTAGTGTATCGTAACACAAATAAAACCTATTCAACTATCACTGACTGAGTTGTGAAGTCTGATATAACCCATCACTAGAAGACACAGTTGACGGTCTTCTAGACCAACAATATGCCACATGGTATCACCGTATCAGCAAAAATGAGGTCAAGTTAAAAAAAATACAAAATATATCTACTACACCCATCTTGAGGGTTCCCGGTAGACCGACGTCCCATAACGCCGGTATCCAGATAACTGATGGATGAGTGTATGCGTTGACTTCAGGGAGTCGTAAAATACCGGGAGGCGACACGAGATGCACAACCGCGTCGGATGATTGCCTCAGCTCGGGCACGAGTGCTGAGACCTCACGCGCTGCATGGCGAGGGACTTCCCATGAGGTCAAAGCGGCGCAGGTCATGCAAAAGGACGCGTTCGCTGTTTGGTCCAAAAAATTTGAAAACTCAATAAAATTATCCTGCACACAACGAATCCAGTGTCAGCAGTTCGTTTTGTTTTTCTAAGTAATAATACTTTGTGCCTTGGCCTTCGAAGTAAAGGATGATGGAGCTTGACAGAGATGACTGCCAAAGTGATGAGTCCACCGTGGAAGATGTAGATGACGCCACGTATTCACTTGGTGACCTGAGTTGTGGGGATGTTCAGCTGTGGGCTACAGGTGAGATTCTTTCGTTTGCATGTTTTTGTCTCTTCCTTGTGGACACGAATGTATAATCTGTAGCATACCTAAGTGCCCGAACTGACCCGATAAATTAGGTGGTCGACACCATCCTTTTCATCCTAGTCTGCCCACGATGCATTGTCTGTTCACTGTGACAGGATATTTATTGAAGTCCTGAAAATTTACGTGTGTACCTAGTATGTATCATCACCGTAGATGATGTAAACCTCCATCCTCAAACCATACTTTGTCTATGTGCAGATCGATGTAAGAGTGGTAGTGCCATCATGGTGTACAGGCCTATGGAAGGTGCAGTGATCCATGGAATTTGCAAACTGCTGACAATGAGACAGGCGAGTGTTACTGAGGCGACGGAGTCATTCCTGCATGTTATTATGACACGGTTACACAAGGCATCAGGTACTGCGAATCTGCTACGCCAGGAAGTGTGCCAGCTGAAGGCATGCAAGGGTGCTGATATTTCGCAAGCATGGCAACAAATGCTGTCCGTCATCGCAACAGCTATTCCCGAAGTGAAAATCAATTGTGAAGGTCAGTGCGTTTTGCATGCATGTTGGAAAAAAATTGGCTTCTGACTAGGTATGCAGACTAGGTATGCAAACGCTGGCTTTTGAATACTAGTACAGTCTCTGCAACCACCAGTCCTTATATGTTGTCTTTTTCTTTTCTCTTCTTCAGATTTGGAAGTTACATCTGCAGTGCTAGCGAATCTGATAAGCTACCTGCATGCCACGGCTGCCGCTGCTATCAGGAAAGCGTCAATAGCACCATCCAAAGCTGCTGAAGCCATCCCCGAACCGGTGATTGACAATTTGTCTCACCTTGCTGAAAAGTACCATGGTGGTTGGTGCTTGGTGGCCGTGCGACGTGAGCTGGAAGGAGCAAGGTGTCGCAACGACAACTTGCTGCAGCTTATACCTTTATTTGGCAAGGATGCCGTGACAAGCCTTCAGCCTTGTTTGGAGAATTCAGGTGGCCCGGCGTGGCTCGGAAGCTCTGTATAAGACACCATACGTCACAGATAAAAACAACTGAACCAGTGATATGTGAATTTTGCGCTTGTGTGTGTGTGTGTGTGTGTGTGTGTGTGTGCTTCTGTGATAAGTGGTATAAGCAGTTCACAGGGTATTCACCTTGAGTGCATTCGCCGATAGTGTGACTTTCGTCGCACAGAACCTTCTTCAGTTGGTCAGGTGACTCGGCGTGGCTCGGAAGCTCTGTATAAGACAAAATACGACACAGATAAAAACAACTGAACCAGTGATATGTGAATTTTGCGCTTGTGTGTGCACGAGCATGCATGTGTGTGTGTGTGTGTGTGTGTGTGTGTGTGTGTGTGTGTGTGTGTGTGTGTGTGTATGTGTGCTTGTGTGTATGCTACTGTGATAAGCGGTACAAGCAGTATACAGGATATTGACGGGTATTCACCTTGAGTGCATTCGCCGATAGTGTGACTTTCGTCGCAGAGAACTTTGCTCAGTCGGTGAGGCGACTCGGCCTTACGTTTCCTGAAGGCAATGTGTTCAGAACAGTTATGAACAGCTATGAACAGTTAAGAAATGACAAATATTGTTTGCAGTTCATGGGCCATATAGATGTGAAACACTTTGAATGCAGAAGAATGAGGATAGTGGCATCAAATACTGCATGGATTCTGTTTGATATGCTACTTTTTTTCCCTTCCATGGAAAGGTGAGTACATCGTCGAACTTCATCTCGAAACTTCACACAAACCTAGAATGGAACTTGGACAACATGAAGGGGCCATGGGCATGGTGTGTTTAGTGGAGAACTATTCCGAAAACAGGGTGTCATTCGCATTGACTCAATTCAAATTTGAGTACATTTCGTGAATAACTTACCTTGACATTCCGTCGTCTCCAAAGCAGTGAACTTCCAAAAAAAAAATTAAAAGCCACGGCTCAACCTAAGGTAATGCGTGGTACATATCAGAAACAACCAGCTTTCGCTCTGGAGATCCAGAATAGCCTCGAAGCATATAGCAAAAACAATTGAGAAAAAGAAGATGACGACGACGTTTCAATCACGCTTCAAATTTCGCGGGTCGAGTGCGGCAATCCTCGGATCGTGAAATGTGTGGCGTGTCGCCTCCCGGTATTTTACGACTCCCTGGTTGACTTCATCACCACCACCGCCACTGTTATGCTCTGTGTCCGATCACATACACTTCCCACAGCCAGCACCATGAGGTTCCTTCGGAGTTCTAAAATATTGTTCCTTCTGACAGCTGTTTCGGTCTTTCTATTTATATGAGTAATGTTGCCTCAAATATATTATACTGCCAAGGATCTTACGATAGCATTGGGCGGTAGCGATGCCATGACAGGCTTGAGCATTGCCTCCAGTGCTGCTGTTTGCTCATCGATGGCATGGACAAGCGAATGCGACAGTACATTCATCACTGTGCCCATTTCACCTGGGCTTATCACGGTCTGCAACAGCACAGCAGCAAGAACAGCATCTGTAGAATCATGCCCGACGGTGGGTGGAACATAACCAGCAGCCAGTACAACACAAGGTGAAACACACTGACATCGAGTAGCTCTGCTGTCAACAGTATGATGAAGGTAATGACCTACAATACATCGCGAAGATAGAACTGTACCCCCACCCCATACACATGCCTGATCAACTCAATCCTGTTGTACAGTCTGCTGCTATCCACATACCTGTAGCAAGTATGTGATAGTCTGTGAAGCATTGGCAACCAGTTGCACTCTCATCGGCAGCACATTATCCCTGGCGTAGGTAGCCCTTTGAGTAGCGTCGGTGATCTTGTTTGCCTTTGCTACCTCAGCATCGTACTTCACAGTGGATACAAGCACAATGAAAACACACAGAGCCCAGAACACCTTGGCATAGAGTGATAGCAGGGAGAATGCCCGCACTGTATTGAATTCACACTATACACGTACACTATTAGCAAGTGCCAGGAAAGTTGATACAACCGCACCACAACGGCACAAGGGCATGATGTTTTGTGTGAACATGTATGATTGATTGGGTCATTGCAAGTTGTACTGACATTGACTTTCAGACAAACTACTATGTACTTCGAAGTAACAGCTGTTGTGATCATTCTAGCCAGTAAGGTCCAGTAGTGTGAATCAATACTTAACAGATTCTATGGAAACATGGAAAACGGTGGGGCATACGTTGTGCGTTAGAGTCCGTCACAACTAAACCAGATTTTGAACAGTCAGACTTGTACAAGGTAGCACCAGACTGACAAGGAGTACTGAGGCATTCCACGGCAAGGAAGTGAGTTTGAGCACTGCTCGATAGCGCTAACCAGCAGCCTTCCAACTTGGAAGGTTCATGTATATTCGTGATAATTCCAAAGAGGGATATTTTCCTTGGTTCACCATCGGAGTACTAACAGATTCTAAAGCATCTTTTTTACCTTTTGTTGTGCTCGCATCAACGAGTTTACTCAAGATTCACCAATACTGGCAATGGCAAAAGACCATGTTGTTCTTACGCATGCATAGCATGAGAGATAAGCAAAAGAGTGGTCATAATATTGCAACTACATGAGCATGGTACAATGCACAGACATAGCAGTAGCTGCTGTATAGTTCTGCATTTACATAGGTAGACCGTAAACATACACAGGCGCGTGCGCCGGTGCCCTTCGGGGGGGGGGGGCTCCCCGGGAAAATTTTCAAAAAATGAAGCAAAATCCTGCATTTTGAGCAAAAAAAGGGGGATTCCGGGCACCCAGGAACCCATACGGGGCACGCGCCTGATACATGCATGTACTTGTAATAATGCCTCGCCTTCCCTCCTCCTGTCCTTCCCTCCCCACCCTCCCCTTCCCCTCCCCTCCCCTCCCTCCCCCTTCCCCCTCATCTCCCCCTCCCCTCCCCTCCCCCTCCTCCAGGCCTATGCTGTTATCATCCACAACACAGCAACCATGATTGTCCTGTATTGTGGGCACACTAGTGCCGTAACATGTGGGTACTCACACCACCCCAAGCACATTCCGTTGCCGATATGCCTCGCATGTACAGGAAAGAATTGAGCCAGTAGTCAAATCTGAAAAAAGGACACAAAAGGCAACGAGAACGGTTTAGATGCCTGTAACTCGACTATACAGTTCATCCATTATCTGTTCAAGTAAGAAGCAGTGCGGGCACATGTGCCACAGTTCTGTTGGCCGCTACACAAAAACTCCTCTACGTACCGCTCAATGTTTGCCAATCCCTGGACCTTTGTCTTCATGGCTACCAGCTCATCCACAAACGCGTAGGTTTTTGCCTGTCCACACTGGGCGCATGTTTAGAGAGGAAAGAAATTGTGTGCGTGGGCATGAAGACACGTTGTCACAGTGATTAGTGTACATGTACACGCATGTGTAGTCAGGTGGGGAATGTATGGAGTAGAGGTGGCTGTATTGAATCTACTACCCCGGACTCCCGTACTCCAAAATCGCTCATCAACGAAACAAGGAACGGTCTATATTGTCATCATGAACAAAGAGCAATGAACAACAACAACCCTGAAGAGTTTTTATAGCCAAAATACCACATTCAGCATATGGAGCAGGGAGTAGTAAAATACCACATTCCGCATATGGAGCATGCACACTGCAAGATACATGTGTGACGCACAGCAACATGTGAACTAATGTCAGGATCATCATAAGAGTGAGCTGATTTCAGATCCGATTTGCTGGATCAATGGTAAAGAGGACTTTAATGGCTTCCACACCTGGTGTGTGTGTGTGTGTGTGTGTGTGTGTGTGTGTGTGTGTGTGTGTGTGTGTGTGTGTGCCTGTGTCTTTTTTATTTATCCTAGAGCGTAGAGTAGTGTACAGTGCACAGGGATGTATAACCTTAGAAGTATGTATTCACAGAAGTCCAGTCACACGTGGCAAATAGTTCTGACTGCCAAATGCAGCCTGGTGTACCCACACCGGTACAGTCTGATCTCTGGTGAGGACGCTTAGCATGGTTGAAGCAGCTAGCGTCCTAGAGATTTAGTATCCATCTCGTCAGGTAGCCATCCTTGGCAGGTCCTCTCTCTCTCTTCTCTCTCTCTCTCTCTCTCTCTCTCTCTCTCTCTCTCTCTCTCTCTCTCTCTCTCTCTCTCTCTCTCTCTCTCTCTCTCTCTCTCTCTCTCTCTCTCTCTACTTGTAGTGTATGTGTGAAGTTGCTGGGAATGCTTACTTCTTTGAGGTCTGCTTTCCATCCTCCGGGGCCACCACTCCACGCAACAGGCCTGGGTAGGTGGAAACTATCGATGCTAATAAAGATGGCAGCTGGATCTGAAGGGAATACGGAATTGTACATTGCATCACCTGTTGTAACCTGGTCGGAAAACACACAGTGCATGGTAAGAATTCCCGAATGGAAAGAACTTTGTAATCCGTTTTCCTATTGAATAGGTCACCATTGCTGTGCAGTTCGAACCCTGGCTGCGTATTTGAACATCGGGAGTGTAGTTTGCCTTGCTTTAGAGCCTTCAAAACGATAACAAGAGCCGCGGGTACAGAATCACAAGTTCTGGTTTGTCATTCCATACAAAGCATATTCAATGAGCATATACAGTGATGTCATTAACACAACCTGTATTCGATATTTCTGAAGACTGTATTATTGTACCACAAGGAGCGTAACGATTCCACAAAAGGCGATCGTTCAAAGCAGGTAACAACAAAGAGCAAACTAAACTCAAAACCAAAACCAAACAACAATTGCACCAGCAAGCTCTTTCCTTGCACTAACTACAAATACATCAAAAACCAAGCAGCAAAATGCAAATCCGCACGCATGTTTACCGAAACTGAACTTCGGCAGCGCAGCTGATCATTGCGGCTGCACGGGACAACCTTCCCGCCACAGTAGGGCAAAGAACTATGTATGGAACTAGCAATGAATGCATGCAGCACACCAGCAAACTGCCCCTACGCAGACGTCTAGTCGCAGGGGCGTACATAGGGCGGTTCCCGGGATGCCCGGGAACCAGTAAAATAATTTCGATGTGGGTAGATCTACGGAGAATGTTTTGATCACGGCCCAGCGTGCATGCAGTGCATGCATGCCAAGGCGGCGTAGTCGCCTGCAGTCCGCCTGACCGTCCGAGGACGGTGACAAGGCAAGGTGTAAAAGTGCTGCTGAGGCATTTTTGTGACACAGCGTAGATCTACTGAACTTACTGGGTGCAACGAAGTCTCTACATACGAGTTACAGCGATTCCTCGATCTCAGAGTCATTTCCTTTGCAGTTTGTTTCGACAAAGTTGGTTACGTTTTTGACGACGCTTTCGCTTTGTGGAAAAGAAAAATGAAGAGTCGACATCCAGAGGGCCAGCGCTATATTCAGAGCTATTTTGAGCAGGAGGCAAAGCGTGTAGCCAGTGACGAAGGTCAAGCGATAGATGAGATTGCGGACGCACCTGACTTCCAAGTGGAGTCTGCAACGAGCAGCACAGAGGACGGAATCGTCGGCGAAGCTGTAGAGCGACCGTTGTTGGAAGCTGCTGGATCATCCAAGACTTACTTCAGTGACATTGGAGTGTGTTGGAAAGGATATTCTGAAAGTGTACCTCCACGGTGGAATCCCTGATTCCTCCGAAATTTGCCATACATGGAAAAGATTTCGGTCATTGACAATCATTGTGCGCCACTAGCTGCACTGAAGGCAAAGGATTTCGTTTCCTGTGCGTGTCCAGACGGGTGGCAAACAGCGCCGCTTTCAACTATCCTGGTTGGAGGAGTTTCCCTGGGTAGTCTTTTGACCGGCGTGCCATGGTGGCTTCTGCTTGCCCTGTGTAATGTTTGCTCCAGGTGATTCGAAGTTTGGGCAGCTTTACCGCAGTCCTCCCGAGAATATAACCCGATTCAAGACTGAGCGTGTGGATGTGCTTCAGCGACTCGTTTCACGGCATAACATGAAATCGTCCTGCTGAACAAAACATCCATAAAAAATGCCTTGGCAAAGTTCAGTCTTTTTGAATCAAATATGCGTAGCAGTGACATTATCCAGCCGTTTATGCAGAAACTCCATCGGATACGTATAAGAGCACTAGCCGTGTGGAATTATGTTGGTTGATCAGTTTGCATGGGAACCACTCCTAGAGGCGAGCGGTGTACGCCCCTGAGTCTAGCGCGTGCAGGGATGAATAGCATGAGAAACATGATATGACACATGACTCTTATGATGCATGCAATGTATACAACACAACCGCTATGGATGTAGGTGTTTCAATGTGACTTCATGCCCAGGAGATGCTTCATTAAAATACCTGTTGGTGTCCAATATCAGGACATGCTGTAGGGAATACCGAGTTGCAATGTAGTTGTTGTTGAAGAACGCAAATGAACATGCTATCAAGGGAAGTTTCTTAGCACACATAATTATGGCCACCTTACTTTCAAAACGCTTTTCCAATGTGCTTCAACCACTTACCTTCAATGCCAAACTCAGTCTTGCTCCACTGTGTCCAGAAAGTATCTGACGTCAGCGTAGGATCCCAGGATTTCTGTATTTTTGGAAGAAAGAGGTGTTGAGATTCTACACAACATTTCACTTTCACTTTCTACCACTGTACTCTCCAGTCAACAATGCGATGACTCCACGACTTTTAAAGTAGATAGTGAACAATTCAGACGCCCCTAAATTGGAGACTATCGTGCAGCACTATTCACATCAAGTCAGTGAACCATTTTGAAGACCAACCCGAGTGCTGCATTAAGTTAAAGCTCCATGTGACAGTAAAGTCATTAAGTTATAGCTCCATGTACAGTAAAGTCATTAAGTTATAGCTCCATGTACAGTAAAGTCTACTCCCGATATCACAAACACCACTGTGCAGGGAGCACTGGTTCTTTAAAGCTGAAGCTCTTCACAACAGAAACGCACCCACACCATATGAACAATACCGTGATCATGCCTAGCATATGACCCGGGACTGCAGGAGTACACTTGGGTTAACATGCTCCCCTACAATAGTGTGATTCACTATATCCAAAACAGTTTGCTACAACAGGGTCCATTTTGTATGAATTCAAACCGTGCATGTGGACAATGGTTGGCTATACAGCTGTATCAGGAAATTTGTTACGTGGGAGTTAATCCTTAAGTGGTGTTGACTGTAATCGTTGTGATATTGCTGACATGCACGTCACATGCGTTTTCTTACCATTCCCATTGCAAGTATTTGTGGCGATACAGCTTTAGTTCTCCCTGAAACAATGAAGATTGCAAGCAACAGAACAGCACACAGTCTACCATCATGGTATTATTTAGTCAGTGGTATGTACTAATACTAAAATAATACTGCTGTGTGGCATTATTGAACATATCCAGTAATTCCAGCATCACTCTGTTTGCTGGCAATTCAAAAAGAACCATTCAGTTGGTTGACTTCCCAGGCCGTATCGATGCTCTTTACACATTCTACACAGCCTTACAGTGAATTCCCAGTAATCCGTTGCAGCCGTATGTTGCAGCATCTTCCATGTGCATCAGCGTGCGATTCACCCATAGCTCAGGTGCCGTCAGACCAGGATCATCCTACCAAACAGAAAAAAGGACCATTCACAATGGCACGTATCCCGCTATTAGGTTTTGCGGGGCACATCCACTACAACCGTACACCTTGATGCCAGCTCTGCATAAAAGGTCATGGACTTTGTGAGGTCATACTCCTAAATGTACTATAACGGGTTGTACCTGCCAAGTATGGGGTAACTTGCCCCCCCCCCCCAAAGGTGACGGCCATCTTAGATGAATACCTCCCATGGTACGGTTCACATGGTATGGTTTGTTGCTGAACAGACTACTGTACTAGTATGCCACGGACAAGCCTATCCTACTCGAAAGAAATTCTTACGATGCGAGATAGGAGCAAACAAGCAAGGAGAATCATCCTGTGGGAATATGGATTGAGAATGAGGGAAGTCAGCATGTACACCGTACCTCCATCCATGGAATGGCCCACTTCTTGTGATGTGTAATGTTCATGTACGCCTTGTCTACCGGTGTATTGCCAACTGCCATGTCAATGGACGTGATCGCATCATAGCCGCTTGGTAGAACCTAGTATTCCAACACACACAGTCATGTAGATATAGGCACATGAGTGCATTGTACATGGCATAGCATCACCGTGTATGTATAAAAGTAGCCAGGATCAAAAGCATTTGAGAATACACTGGATAGTGAGGTAATGACATCATCAAGTATGCACTGCATTAGTTATGACATCACTCGTCGGCCGGGTATGCACTGGAGTAAGACATTTCTATGTGATCTCAGAGAGGATAATGGTCAGTCATGGCAATAGCTATTAGTGGGATAATGTGGATTACAAGTGGCTGGCGATTCACCACTCCTGGTCCATCATACTAGCTTAGCATGGTACACACCTTGTCAAAAATACTCCTGTCAGGAAGTGGTCCTACAACCCAACCGCATGAAGCTAGCAATCCAGAAGAAGTACACACACCGGACAACTCTATTTCAGTAACAAACTTCGATCGACTCAGAGCTCTTTGCTCTTCTTTCTCACACCTCAAATCAACCATAACTAGTGCATGGGTTGCTGCGGACAGCCATATTGCAAGACAAAGAACACCAACACAAAAAGCACGCATCGCAGATATTCGTCATTCGGAAGAACAATGCTTCTTGTTTATTTCAAATATTCAGCCAACGAGAAGCGTACACTTCCTATCATACTGCACAACAGCAGGAAAAGTTTTTTGTTGTTGCAATATTGCAAGGTCATCACTGAAATGTCTCCATTGAGTCAAATTTTCTGTGCAAAGATTCATGCGAAACTGTGTGTTGCTCCCTACGTAAAGATTCATGCACAGTAGAATTCCTCCTTTGTCCACACAGTGCAGTTTCAATACCATAAATGGGCATAATGGCAGGCAAACCTCGTTCCATCTTCTTTGTGTGGATATTCAAGCATCTAGAAACAACGTACCTAGCTCAAACGGTGCTTTCAGGTCATCTCGTGCCGCTAAAGCTGACTTAAGATCGCCGACAGCTTTCTGGAAAACGGTGTTACTGGAACGCAAGACAGTGTACACATAACAGTGTATCTTGCACCACAGAGTTCAGCATGCAATTATGTCATTATCCTAGGGGCCCATAATCTTGAGCTAGAAATGAGTTTACCCACCCCCATCATTTTTAAAGTTATTCCCTACACAATCATCAACGTTGGAATGATGAAACCCTATACCGTTAAAAACACCATCAAATTGCAGTGAATGTGATTCATCCATTTTAAGGTGATACAGGACGCCCACCAGTTTTCCTGGAAATAATTAATGTGACAATCAAAAAGTACTACAATGTGTCTTACTTCTCATTCATTTTTCCCCATTCCCAACCTTCCGGTGTCCAGATCCAGTAATAGTCGATTGGTAGCTGTAGCTTCATGATCCGTGTGAAGATCCCCTGGTAACGCCAACGCACCAACACACCAACACCATTAGCCATAGACAACGACACACAAGACGCAGATACTAGTGGGTAGGGAACACCATCTACCATGAACATTATTTACGCTAGGCCATGCAACAGCCACCATCACAGGCTGAGTATAGTTCACAGGATAGTGCATAGCTACCAGCAACGGGAAATTTGTAGGGTGTATTCGCAATTTGTGCACCACCAATCAGAAAACATTCAACAACAAAAATCATCGCCTGGTTCTGGTGGGAAAAGGGTGCAGCATAGGTTTCGGGTTCCAGTTTGGAAATGCGTTTCTCAAACATGCATTTATTTTATGAAGCCATTCCGCTCAAAACGAACTATGGAGTACGGCTGAAACGATCTTGGATTTTCACCTATCGATTACTCTTTAGCTTAACGATCGATTTATCGATTATAATCGTAAGCAAATAGTGTCAGAATTTTGTGCCAGACTACTCTGTTTCCACAAGCCATGTCTTCATAATACCAAACAAATCTGCATTAGGGAAAGGGTAGCTCCGAAACCTGGCAGTTTTGAAGTCAATTGAACCTCAGAACATCTCAAAAGCCCTAATGAATAATCTATAACGTAACGATTAGTTGATTGTTAATAAAAGGAATTATCGATCGATTACCGTTATTGGTATAATCGTTTCAGCCCTACTACGAAGCATAGGAAACCTTTGGTCGAGTTATAGACCGAATTTCCAGTTGCCATCACCAACCTCATAGTAGTCATAGGCCTGTGGTATTGGTGGTGCAGTGAAGTTGGCGATGACCATTCCTAGCGTTGACTGCAGCACGTATCCATTGGCCAGTGCGTACTTCTTGGCAGCATCACTACCCGCCACCAAATGATCGACCATCTGCATGCCGCACAATGAAAACAGGGAACACACAGTCGGCAATGATGCATACAACATGGTTTGTAGTTTGTGCAGGCGTTGGCTAGACGGTGTCCAGCTGTCTTGTTGGGCCCTGACACTGAGTGGCATACAGAAGACCCTCGGAACAGGGGCGTCACACACGGTGCGGTCACTACAGTATTGACCGTACCACTTTTGCCCCAGATACCCCATGAATCAACAAAATATACTGATCTGGGATCTAAAATTCCAAAATTTTCAGCTCAGCCACCACTCCCCCACGAGTAAATTGTACTTCAGATGGCTGACCGTACCACACTAAAATACCTTCCGAAGCCCCTGCGGAATGAGGGTAGGTAGAGGAGTGCACATCTGGTATTCTGTACTGCTTGTAGTTTGTTTTTGGGATCTTTCCCCAATACAAGAACACCTGTCTTTTTTAAGACCATCTCAAGGTCTTGAAGTTGAAGTTCTAAGTTCGTATCTCAAGGTCTGTATAACTTACACGGCTGCTGCCTGATCTTACTACATGTATGCATTAGTAGGTGGACATGTTATTCTACGGATGAGATATCACAAGCTCACAATTATGTGATAGCGTATCAGAACAACTGCCAGCAACAGATGATGTCAACTTGACAATGGTGCCCCATACCGTGACATACCTGTTCGTTATAGTACACCTGAAGACTTGTCATGTCTAGACCACTGGTGATGTCCTCATCACCATTGCTAGATTTCAGAAGGGTTGCGTTGATGTAGCCTTCCGTTCGGACCAAACCATACCCTGCAGAACGAGGTTAAAGATAGAGGTTAGCAGTTGCAGGCTCCGGCTTTAGGAGCAGGAGCCAGTGCTGGAGATGGTTCATTTCATGGAGCACGACTCGGTCAGTAGCTATATCTATATAGGTGGCGACATGAAGCAATCATTGGCTCAAAATAGGATGCAGCCTAAAATTCCAGCTCTGACCTTTTTCATGCAGATGTGTATGAACTTCAAACTTGATATGGAGTGATTTTTGCTGCTTTAGCGTTTTTTTAAACACTGTCCGCATCGCCGGTATACTCTTTGAAAACGTACATTGCTCCGTACTGTCAAGCCAGGTATGAATGGACAATCCTAGGGGGAAATTACAATGTACCAAGCCACGACTTGCCGCACACACAAAGGTACAAGTTGCCATGATAACATGCAAGCTATTTGAATGTCACTATGGGTTTCCTGGAGTGCTCTCACCTGGGCCGATGGGCTTTGTGCTCAGGACGTTGTCGAACTTCTGTCCATTGTAGTACGTGTTGACGGGAATCAAGCCCGGTTGTGGAACGAGACTGATGTATCCCTGAACGCCGACAAACACGTACACGCCCTCACACTCTGCACACTGCAGGTGACATACACATACACACAGACATACACACACACATATACACACACACACGCACACACGCACACAGAGAAGACCAGTAATGAAGGATTAGAAATGGAGCCCACTGAGTGGTTGCATGCATGATATTCACACACCAGCTAATAGCCACACACCAAACTGGCCCGGGCTGACAACAAAAGACTACAGCGTGCTCAAAAACATCTGGTCCCATTATTTTAATGTTGCTGCAGTTTACGTAACATGAATCACGTTGCCAGGGCTGTACAGGGTCTGGCATGAAGCAGATTAGGCGGCTGAATTCTGTTTAGATACTGGAAGTATTTAACGGACTTGTTGAAACCCTTGCGTTACAACCACCACTGCCACCTACTGCACCACTTCCATAACCTCTTGGCACTTTTTGAAGCTACACATGTCTAATTGTCTACAATTTCTTTGAAGATGGGAGACAAGCGGAAATGACAGGGTCGGCAATACCATACGCTGCACAACAACCGTGACAGTTTCAGCAGGCATGACGTAGTGAGTACTAGTTGAAGACATGACACTTGCCTGTGTTGTCGTGAGGAAGTGGTCTTTCCTGGATGCACTGTAGTAGAGGTTCAGCGGACCATTACCTGTCTTGTTACCAACAGCTGGTGAAGGCATGCTTAACGGTGTCTCTGTACCGACACACGTCTTCACGGAAATCCTCTGGGCATGCTGGAATGCTGACTTCAGCATTGCTCCAGTCCTGTCAAACTATGCAGGTCAGGTTCAAAGAGAACAGAACACACACTGAATGTTATGATTGGCAAAGACAGCAAGGGTGTAACACCTAATCCATGATGTCACAGCAACATGGAGATCAGAATGGTGATCTTGTAAGTTGTAGGTAACAAAAACGAGAAAGTAGTAAATTTTAGACTCACCAACAAGTCAGTACAGTGGAACCTGCCCTAGAGGACATCGGAAAAATTGGGACACCGTTCAGAGGTCCTTTGGAGATACATATCCACACACCTTAACCTAGAAAATGAGGACATTTTTAAGGTGTGAACAGTTTGGACTAGCCCCATTGGGTGTCCATGTAAAGCTCCTTTGCCGCCAACCCCGCTTGACCCCTTCCACTGAGCTGTACGCTCTGGTCCAGACCACCCTATTGTTGCATAGACGGTGCATCCACTTACTGTTAGAACTGGTTCTCTGACTCCTCTAGCCACAGAACACGTAGTTCACTGATCCTACCCACAGTCCAGCCCAACTGCCTAATTCGCCTCTGTTTCTTGATTTCTCGACATAGCTCTTTCTTGCTCATGCCATTTAGCTCATTTCATGCCTCACAGACTTTCTTGCCCAGCTTTCAGCACTTCAATAGTCCTATTCAATTGACCTTTTCTTTTTCCTTCTCTCTCTTTTCTTTATATTTATATTTCTTGAAAATAAGGCTTGGAATTTTTTAAACATGAATATCGACGGACTTGCCCCTTCTGTTCATGTCTCGCCCCGCTCTAGTAATGGTTCATGAATCCGCCCAGTCCACATTCCTTCTCCGTTTCTCTCCGTTTTTCTTTCCTTTCAGTTGCATCTTCCTTTCTGCTCTGTTTTACTTTCTCTTTTCGTTCGTCCCTCTTGATTATTATTATTATTATTATTATTTCACAATCACGATGACATAGTGCCAATAAGCATGTGATGCGGGCGATTTTAACCAGCCATGGTGGGGACAACTGAGAAAAAGAAGGAGAAGAAAAAGAGAAAAGAAAACAAAACAAAAGAAGTACTATAGGAACCTGGAGAGAGCAGTATGAAGATTAGGCTAGCAATAGAAAACAACGAATTCAATTCAATTCAACTTAGGCGCGGGCAGAATGGAACAAAATGCAGCGAAGGTGTCATGAGACTTTACCTCCTGCGGAAGCCGAGACCAATGAGAATAGGACTTGAACAGAGGGGATTTTAAAAGGATCGATGACCTGGCAAGTGGGAAATGGAGAGAACATCTAGTACGCGAGCTATTATTGAACCAGCTTAAATGCGCAAGTGCATGAGGAGGAGCAAGTTGAAGCTTAATACGGTGAATGAATTTGCATGCCGAGTGGGGAAAGCGTTCTGAGAGAGGGGAAGAGGAAGCCAAAATGTATAGCGTCTGAGAGGAGGTCAGAGGGGGCATGCGAAATATTAATCGAAGTAATTTACGGTGGGTGACTTCTAACCGATGCATAAGAGCGGAGGATAGACCGGAGGACCAAACGAGAGAGCAGTAATCAAACAAAGGAAGAACATAAGAGTGATAAATTTGTATTCGACAACCATGGTGTAGATGGGAGATGTGAGGAGAAATGCAGCCTATCGCGGAGCAAACTCGCTTTTCAATATAGGTTACGTGCGAATCCCAGGACAAGTGTTCATCAAGAAATATACCAAGGTGTTTGTGATTTTTAACAATGTTGATAGCAATGGGATCATCAGGGAAAGTAAAAAGCCGAGTCGTAAGGAGGGTGAGGTCACTGGAGGGTCGTGGGGGGATACAAAGGATTGCCGTTTTCGACACATTGGGGCGGAGTTTCCACTTCGACATCCAGCGCACAACTTGATTAATGTGATACTGTAGCGAGTCGCAGGCTTGCAATAAGCCTGGCTCGGTTATATGGAGCGCTGTATCGTCCGCGTAGAGTGAGGTATGATCCAAACCTGCCAAATCATTAACGTATACGATGAACAATAGAGGCCCCAAGATAGAGCCCTGGGGCACTCCAGAGTGGACTGTTAGAGGGGCGGACAGGGCATGTCCAATTCGGACACTCTGTCGACGTTCAGTGAGATAGCTGGTGAGCCACTGCAGACACGTCCCGGCTACGCCAAACGCTGCTAACTTATGGAGGAGACCCCTTGTCCAGACAGTGTCAAATGCTTTGCTGAGGTCGAAAAAACATAGGAGGCTAAATTGCTTCTGATCCTTGCATTCATATAGCTTCTGCACAAGCCTCAGCAACTGCCAGGCGGTCGAATCGCCTCGCCGAAATCCAGACTGTGACGGGTCAAGGACCGGGTTCACATGTTGGTATAAGTGGCCAAATGCCACACGTTCACAGAGCTTTGAAATGGTGGAAAGGAGTGAAATCGGCCGGTAATTGGATGCAGACAGTTTATTGCCTTTATTCTTGTAAATAGGCACAACCACAGCTGCCTTCCAGACATCAGGGAAGATTCCGGTGGCGAAGGACTGGTTGAAAACTAGGCTGAGAGGGATAGCTATACTAGGAGACAGGGCTTTTAGCAGTTCATGGGATATGCCATCTGCACCTGCCGCCTTCTTGGGCTTTAGGCGACGGATGTGTTGGGCAATGGCGGTGGGAGTAGTGCTAAAAGAGGGTAGTGCTGGGAGCCCGTGGTGTGGAATACCAGGGAGAGACCATGCAGGATCATCCGGTGTTCCAAAGCTGATGAATTGGCGATTCAGAGCATTGGCAATCTGGGTAGGGTCGTTGTGTACTGTGTTATTTTCATGGAGTTCAGTGATGATAGGGTTCCAACAGGGGTCGGCGAACGAAGCTGCTTAACAAACTTGAACAAACTAGGGGTGGATGCAATAATGGATGAGGGGTTAGTGCTAATGGAGGACACATACTGGCGGTGAGCCTCTCTAGATAGGATTCGTGCTCTGTTACGTTCGCACTTGTAATGCTCGTGATTGCTAGGGGTAGGATACTTGCGATACAAGCTGTACGAGTCTCGCTTCCTCTTCAGCTGAGCTTTAACAGCACGTGTCAGCCACGGGGGACTTGGTGTACGTCGTCTAGGCGCTGAAGAGCGCGACCGGGTGGGTAGGAAAGCGGAGCATAGACCATGAAGGATGTCATAAAATGCTGGAGCAGTACGGTTTGGATCTCCAAGCTTCAACTGGAGAGCAGCATGCCAGTTCAAATTAGCAATGGATTCATTTAGAGCAACTAGGTGAGTGGGAAGAATGGAGGAGATGTCAAACTGACTGAAGTCAGGTATCTGGAAGGAATGGGAGGGCAGTGTAGTGTTGGGTGCAGGTGGTGATGCGGTACATGTCGGGATGCACAAACGGCCGAGAACAATTGAGTGGTCCGACTGACCGAGAGGGGCTGAGGGGCGCGGATCGCAGATGCTGGCTGCAGTGTCAGTGATCATCAGGTCCAGAGCAGCCTCATTGCCTTTGTGGGAGCGGTGGGTCGAGAATGTGACGTGCTGCTGCAAGGCAAACATGTCAAGAAGACATGAAAGGTGGTGGCCTGCAGTGTCTGTTGTTGTTCCATACCAGGTGGAACATTTAGCATTGAAATCTCCCATGATGAGGACTGGCGAGCCAGGGGTCCGTATTTTAGTCAAGCAGCTTTGAAACGAGGCGTAAAAGTTATCTATCACCGACGGGTCGGTGGACGGTGGGCGGTAGACAGCCGCAATTTGGATGGGCTGCTGGCGCGTGGGGCAAGCAGAGGTTCCAGTGGATGGCGATATCTCTACCCAGGTAGCTTCGAATTGCGGAAGATGTAGGTCTGTACGGTGGGTAATAGGACCAAATGCACTTGATTTTACTAAGATAGCAACACCGCCATAGGCCAGGAAGTCGTTGGTGTTAATTTTATTCTCGGAGGTGGGTCGATCCCTTCGAAAACATTCATAGCCTGGGAAGGAGAGGGAAATTTGTGGACACAACCAGGTTTCAGTTATGCAAACAACAAGGGGACAGCTGGTCGTGAGAAAGTCGGATAGCTCAGCAGATTTGTTTCTAAGGGAACGTGCATTGATACAGGCTACGGGAAAGGAGGCTAGGGGCGTTGAAGGATAGAAGGGTGTTGCGTTAGGGTCAAGTTGAGGTGTTGGTTTACTCATTGTTCAGATTCAGCCTGGTCAGTGATATTTGTACTTTGTACTTGTGGCTCATAAACCCAGAGATATTCTCGAAAGGCAACTAACTGTCTTGAACCATACTCAGATTTACTTCGATGACCATTCAGAAGAATACCATCACAAGCAGAACTCTGGAAAACAACAACTGTGCCTACGCTCCGATGAACTTATATAGCAAGAGCGACGGCCACATCTAACACCCTGCCTCTACACCAACACTTAGCACATGCATGTAGATAAGAAGAGCGCGTGATGACGAATAAGGTGCTAAGTGCTAGCGTAGAAACAAGGCGCTAGATGTAAGAAGAGCGCGTGATGACGAATAAGGTGCTAAGTGCTAGCGTAGAAACAAGGCGCTAGACGTGGCGCGTACAGGCAACGATTTAGCAGAGCATGGAGAGGAAAACTGTTCAGCAACATTCAAAAAAGCAGAACGAGAACGAATAATACTTCAATTGAGGCTACCTCCGTAACATTCTCCTCTTCCTCGATATGAGACAACGTGACCAGATCGAAATAAAACAAAATAAATAGTACCTTACTAGCTCCACCACTAAGAACCCAACATCGTGCTCTTAGCAAAGCAAGTCCAGGTGGCTAGACAGCAGGTCCGCAGCAGGGTAAAGATATAGCAATACCGCTGACTAATAATAATAAGAAGATAGAGGACATGCAATGATTTTCAGAAGACAGACAGCAGAAAAGCTGTCCACATCAGTCCATCACTCTGACGCATACTCCAGTGGGCACAAGCGGTTGATGGGTCGCACAAGAGTACGATCACCCACCTGCACCTTGGCAACACGTACTCGTTCATCCTTCCCGGGGTAGACTTCCAGAACCCGAGCCAAGGGCCATTTACGCCTAGCGGTGTCTGGAGA